TCTCGCGCGGAACTTCCTCACACTGTATGCAGAAATCGCGCTCTGGCGTGGGACTTCGTCACAAATGGTTCCGACGCCGCGCCTTCGACACTCAGGAATCACGCTCTTGCTTTGGCCTATCTCGCGATTTACTTGGGAATCGCGCTATCGCTCGAGACCTCCTCGCGATTCATGCCAGACGCACGCTTCATGCAACCCGTCTGCTCGACCTGGCTGCCTGGGCCCGCCTTCCCGACCGTCCTGTTTGGGTCAACCCGCCAGACCTGCCCGTCTGCTTCTGCCACGTGTTTTCTGCTCCTAGCCCCCCTCCTGCTACTCTCTCTCTCTCTCTCTCTCGCTCTATCCTCCTCCCTCCTCCTTGTCCATTTCTTCCATCCGTCCTCTCTTCCCCTGCCGTAGGGGCTGCATGAAATACACGTTGCAGATACGACATATATACCCCCAATGGTTTACGATCGACGACGAAGAAAGCTGGAATCGAGGGCTTAGGGTGTACACGTTGAATGGCACGCGAGAAGGTAAGAGCGAACAGTTTTAAATTGATGTTTGTCGTTGTTGTTGTCGTTGGTGTTGTTGCTGCTGGGTCTGCCGTTGTTGTCGTTGTTGTTGTCGATGTCGTTGTCGTTGCTGTTGTTGTCGTTGCTGTTGTTGTTGTTGCTGTTGTTGTTGTTGTTGTTGTTGTTGTTGTTGTTGTTGTGGGGGTTGTTGCTGTTGGTGCTGCTGTTGTTGATGTTGTTGTTGTTGTTGTTGTTGTTGTTGTTGTTGTTGTTGTTGTTGTTGTTGTTGTTGTTGTTGTTGAACTCTCATTCTTGAAGAATAATTATTGTTGATTCCCCCCCACCGGTGCACATTGATTTTTTTCGATTGAAGTGCCACCCCCGGGGCTCGCACCTTGTTTTTTCTCAAGGAAAGTCTTCCTGCTCAAACTGTGCCCCTGCCCCCCGGGCTACAACAACAACGGCTCCCGCTTGAGACTTCCTCGATTTTTACTCAGGACCCCCGCTCCCGCCTGAGACTTCCGCGCAATTTACTCAGGAAAGGCGCTCCCGTCTGAGACTTCCTCGCAATGTAATCAAGACTCTCGCTCCCGCTTGAGACTTCCGTGCGATTTACGTGGGAACGGCGCTCCCGCCTGAGACTTCTTCGAATTTTACTAAGGACCCCCGCTCCTGCCTGACATTTCCGCGCAATTGACTCAGGAACGGCGCTCCCGCCTGAGACTTCCTCGCGATTTAGTGAGGGCCCCCGCTCCCGCCTGAGACTTCCGTGCAATTTGCTCAGGAACGGCGCTCCCGCTTGAGACTTCCTCGCAACTTAGTCAGGGCCCCCGCTCCCGCCCGAGATTTCTTCACAATGTACTCAGGACTGCGCTCTCGTGTTCGACGTCCTCACAAATTATTCTGGAATTGCGTTTCGGCGCTCAGGAACCACGCACGCGCCAAGGACGCCTTCACAACGTGGTACCTTCCCTCTTCCTTCGTCCTTCCCCCTCCCCTTCCTCCCACTCTCCCTCGTTCTTCCCCTCCTCCTCTTGCAGGGCCCGCGCCAATTCCAATGGCGGGCAGAGAGATGTACGCCCCCGAAGGATTGTCCGCCCGTTCCGGTTTGCCCGTACGTCTAAGCCCGCCGGCCCCAGCAAAGAGAAATAATCCCCCCGAAAGGGGTGTGATCGAAGACGAAGAGGGCGGGTTTCGAGGGTGTAGGGTATACGTGTTGAATGACTCGCGGGCAAGTAAGAGCGTACAGCCTTAAACATGGTTGTTGTTGTTGTTGTTGTTGTTGTTGTTGTTGTTGTTGTTGTTGTTGTTGTTGTTGTTGTTGTTGTTGTTGTTGTTGTTGTGTTGGTTGTTGTTGTTTTGGTTGTTTTTCTTGTTTTTTCCTAACAATGTTGCCCCCCCAGCGGTGACCATCACGTTACTCAATTGCAATGCTCCTCATTGCGCTCGCACCTGGATTTGTACCAGGGGATTTTTGAGGTCACCAAAAAGGTTCCCTGGTCTCCCGTTTACAACAACACGTGCTCCTGCGTGATCTGTCCTCACAGTGTATTGACACATCGCGCTCTCGCGCGGGACTTCCTCATAATTTCTGTAGGAATCGCGCTCTCGTGTGGTACGTCCTTTCCTTTGGCACCGCGCTCTCGACGCTCAGTAATCGCGCTATCGAACTGGCTTTTCTCATGATGTACTTGGGCATCGCGCTATCGCTCGAGACCTCCTCGCGATTTATGCAGGACTCACGCTCACGCTTCAGCAACCTGCCTGCGCGACCTGGCCGCCTGGGCCCGCCTTCACGACCCGCCGGTAGCGTCTCTCCTCCCGATTTGCCCGTGTGGTTCTGTCACGTGTTTTCTGTTCCTAGCCCTCCC